AAAAATGGAGAAGGGATTGTAGTGTGACCATATCCCTTAAGAGGGTGATGCTTTCTTCTCTGTCAGAGGAGAGAAGTACAAATGACCTCTAGCAATTAGAAAATTAAAAAGAAGAAGAAAACTATGGGCTATAGCCCAAATGCTCTGGTCTTGGCTGAGATGGCCAAGGTAAGAGTGGAGAGTGAATGTTCCAGGCTGTCTGCAGGCCAGCTCTGCCCTCAAAGCTAGGCAGTTTTCCTCTATTGGGATTTATCCCTCCAATATTTTATTATGAAAAATGTCAAACATACAGCTAAGTGAAGAGTTTTGCTGTCTGGACCATATATCCACCACTCTGTACCGTGTCCCCACTGCCCAGTCTGTACCGCATCCCCACCGCTCAGTCTGCACCGGGTCCCCACTGCCCGGTCTGTACCGCGTCCCCACCGCTCAGTCTGCACCGGGTCCCCACTGCCCGGTCTGTACCGTGTCCCCACCGCTCAGTCTGCCCCACATCTCCACCACCTGATCTGTACTGCACTGCACTTGCATTATCACCTACCTGCCCACCCCCAACCCACTTCACCCTTCTGGTGCCTTTCAGAGGAAAATGCAAATACTAGGGTGCTTTTTCTTTTTTCTTTGATTGCCAGAGGACTTATGCTTTTGCCAGAGAGAAAGGGGAAAAGCATCCCCAGTGGGGCATGGTCCCACCTAATCCCTTCTCCATTTCTGCATCTGTGATTTTGTACACACCACACCCGACATGTTTTGGTTTTGTCTTGTTTCATTTTGCTATAAGGCTCATCAGAGAGACTGGGGGCTAGGGGGTTAAGAAATGACCCCCGGGGGATGGCCACTCTGCAGTCCCTTCTCCTCCACACTCCTTTCAGGATTTTAGACACATACACATGCACACGTGACCAGCTTGTTTCTCAAGCAGCTGCATCTGGGACTTGAACCCTACAGCTGGCCATATGGGATCCAGCTGCCCCAACCACGATGCTACCGGCTGGCCCCGGCATGTATTTCAAGCTGCTGGAGGGAGGATTTGAACTGCAGTCAGCCATGTTAGATCTGGCTCCTTTAACCACAGGGCTGGCTCTGTTTTTGTTTGTTCCCATGATAGAGCATGTGAGAGAAAGAGAGAGAGACACCCTCACAGGGCTCATTCATGCTGCCATCCCCGGCCTTCAGGACTCTGCCCACCAGATCCTGCGAACATGTGCATCCACCTGTCCTATGTTGTGGTTTGTGCTCAAACCACAGTCGGCATGTGGCTTCCAGCTTCACAGGCCAGCAGCCTACCAGCTGCACCACCAGCTGGACCTTTTAGTGGATTCTTAGTTATAAAAGAATTACACAGGCTTCCAAATAATACGAAAGTATGTAAAAATATCCGTATAATCCTCCACCACTATTACAGCGAGCGTGTCCTTCCAGACCTTTTCCCTGTGCCCGCACACACGAACACACACATATTGAAATCCATGAGGTATGTTGTGCTTTAGAGCAGCAGGGCAAGCCCTGTGTGTTGACCCGCCACTTGCCACACCTGGAGACAGGAGGCACTCAGTGGCCAACAGTGTGGTGTCCCCTCCTCCTGTTTGTTTCACTCTGTCAGTGGCTCTTGAGTTAGACAGATGCTAACAGGACGAGAAGATGACTGCCAGTGTGGTGGCCGGGAAGCTAGGAGTGACTCCTTTCACGGGGCATGTGCATAGGGACTTAAGTAATCCGTTCTGTCTCCTGCTACTTCCTCGGGGTTCCTGGTGTGGGGCTCTGTGTCTCCAGAACCATCTAGGCCATGAAGAATCCTCATTTTATGGGCCCCAGATGTTTCTTTTTCCACCAAAATAATCAGTGGGCATGAAGAAGCAGCAGTAGAGGAGGCTCTTTGAGCAGGGGGCCCCTGTTCCGGCACCACCATCCAGGAACCCTCTGGCGTGGGCAAGATGTGTGCTGCCTCTGGACTTTGTGTCCTCATTCGCAAAATGGAAATAACACCGTGTCCTGCCTTGTGTGATGGTGAGGCTCAAGGGAAAACTCACATGCAGAGGCTCGGTGTGGAGCGCTGGCAGTGTTCACAGCCAGTAAGAGTCTACTCGTGGTGGGGAATTGATCACCTTTCTACACCTGTGTAGCCCGTTCTCTCAGTATTTCTTCTACGGTTTTAAGAACTTCTCGGTGACCTCTGGCTCACATTACCTCTGGCACCTGCCCTTCAGATATCAGCGTTGACCTGAGTGCATCTGCTGGCTTTGGATTTTGATCCAGACTTTCGTCCCAGGCGGTCTCTTGGTCCTACACCCGCACCTGTTGACTGTATCTCTCTCACCCTCATCCACCCATATCTGGATTTCAGTGAACTCCAGGGGGTCCCATCAGTGTGTCCTGGTGGAGCCACCTGCTCAGCACCTACCACTGGCCGTGGATTCACCAACCCCTTCCATGCCCGTGCTCCTGAGTCCCCCTCTTAGAGACGGGTGCCCACCATTCGCCCACCTGCCTTGTCAGCATGCCATTGCTGCCGGCTCCTCCAATCCATTTTCCGTAACTTCAGGAGATGTGGAGTGCACCTCCTGTGCCTCCAGGTTAGCCAGACAAACCCAGGCACCACAGCAGGACCTGAGTCCATCCTCAGAGGCTTGATCTCCCTCCCCACTTCCCACGTGTCTCTCTGCACCCGCCATAGCAAACCAATAGTCCCCAGATGCACAAGACCATTCGCTTTGTATAGACTCTGCTCTCCCCCACCCCGCCATCGTCTGTCCCTGTCTGTCAGGACTCACCTCAGGTCTCAAGCCATCCCTGATTGGTCCCCGCCTCACTTAGGTACCTTCTTCCATACCTCTCGTTCCTGGAGTTGAGCGTCATCAGACTTCCTGGAAGTTACCACTCTGTGTTTTGGTTTTCTTGTCTGACCTGCCCTATGAGTCTGTGAGCTTCCTGAATCCTGAGACTGGCTATTTTATTCCCTGTGAGTCACCAGTGACAGGATGTTGTAGATTCTTGGTGAAGAGCTGCTGCCCCAGCCCCGGGTTAACCCAAGTCTGCTTGAGCTTTTCCAGTCAGGGCTTTGCCAGGCACTCTTCGTAGGCTTGCCCTTCCATTCATTTGGAGGCTGGGGGGTCAGGGAGTGATTCTTTTTTAGAAGTTGAGGTGATGGGGGCCAGCAGGTGGCGTGGTGGTTAAGGGTGCTGGACTCCCACATGGCTGACCGTAGCTCAAGTCCCAGACCTGGTGGCTTGCTTTCTTGCTTTGCCTCTCTTGCTCTCTTACTCTGTCTCTCTCATGAAATTAAAACAAATAAATAAAGTTAATAAAATGATTCTTAAAATAAATTGAGGTGGCACTCATATAGCATAAAAGTAACCATTGTAAAGTACAGTTAAAATTTAGGGTAGTCACAGTATTGTGCAGCCACCACCTCTATCTGGTTCCAAATGTTTCATCACCCCCAAAAACCCTCACATGATTCCACATGCGTGAGGTACCCTCAGTAACCAGACTTAAAACCAGAGCGTGGACAGTGGTTGCCCTGGGTTGGGGTAGGAGACATGGAGGTCAACTGGTGTGAGAGTTCTCTCATGCAAGATGCGTAAGTTCTAGGCCTCTGCTGGACACCACAGTACCTTTGGTTAACAATACTGTAGTGTAGACTCGAAAATTTAAGAGGTAGTTCACATGTTATGTGTTATTGCCACAAACTTTTAAGAAGGAAAGAAAAAGAAAACCTCTTAGCTACTAGGCAGTCACTCCCCATTTCCCCTGCTCTCAGCTTCTGTCTGCGTTTTGTCTCTATTGATCTGTCCGAGTACAATCATGGCCTTTTGTGCCTGGCTTCTTTCTTGCAATGCATTTTCTCCTTAGTTTTCTGTCTTTGTTCTTGGTACAGCATGTAGGCATGTACATGAGTGGCAGAGAGATACACAGACCCCTTCCTTGGAGTCTGGTTATGCCACAGTTTGCTCATGCAGTCCTCCAGCCCATGGGACCTTGGACACTCGTGTGCATGCCCAGCGCGTCACAGGCCAATTAGGCCAGGCATTTGAATAGTGGCCTCCAGGGAGGGTCCGACTTCTCCTGAGCAGCACATTGCTGCAGTAGGGCCAGCCCAGCATAACACTTTTGAGGCTCATCCACATCGTAGCATCTGTCAGTTCTTCCTTCCTTTTCTTGGCTGAGTAATGTTCCATCGTGTGGATATACCACATTCTGTTTCTCCATTCGTGCCTTGATGGACACTTGGGTTGTCCCCACTTTTGGCTATTGGGAATATTGCTGCTATGCACATCCGTGTCAGGGTCTTCACCTGAGTACCTGTTTCTTGTACTCATTCTCTTTTAGATTTTTTTATATAGGGTATGTGTGCTCACTGGAGAGAGAGAGAAAGGGAAAATGAGAAATCACCCCCTAGGTAGGGTGGCCACACTGCAGTCCCTTCTCCTCCATTCTCCTGTTGGAATTTTGGGCATGCTGGTCCATGCACATGCACCCAGCATGTTTCTCAAGTTGTGGGTCCAGGACTCTAACTGTGGAGTCAGCTATGTGGGATCCAGCGCTTTAACCACCACACCTCCTGCTGGCCCCTCTTCCGTTCACTCTTGCCTGCTATCATGCTCCCCATTGCCCTATTTTGCCAAGGCAGAAGTCAGTGCACCTGGTACACAGGTGTGTTTGGGGACGTCTGTTAAGGGAAGCAGCTGGCCTCAAGCTGCCTCTGCCACATGCCCAACCTCTCCGAGCCTGTCTCGTCTTCTGACACCCAGGCCTTTGGTTAATCTCATTTTGGAAGCAGTCCCATTTTTTCCTTGGGTAATTAAGGTGTGCTGTGTATGTCTTATCTCCTCAGAGCAGGTCTTCAGGTCAAGGTCCCTTTTAGGCTTGTGTCCCCTGCCAAGCCTGGCACAATTTGGATTATCTGAGCAAGCCCAGCTAGTTCCCAGACCCATGCCTGCTTTGTGCCACCTGTCCACTGGTCACTAACCCTGTTGTGCTCTGCCCTGTCCCCCTTGCAGATGATGTGCTGACTAAAGATGCGGGTGAGTGTGTGATCTGCCTGGAGGAGCTGCTTCAGGGGGACACGATAGCCAGGCTGCCCTGCCTGTGCATCTATCACAAAAGGTACGAGGGGCCTCACCCCACACCCAGAGGCAGACCTAGCCCTCCTGTCCCCTTTGGTTCGGAACGACCTTCCCCACACCGAGGGCTCTGAGTAGGGTCGAGGCACAGGCCAGCAGAGAGGCATCCCCTGTGGTGATGGGAAGTTGCCAGCTTCCAAGTGCCAGCAGAGTTGACTTGCCGGGGGCCTTGCTCTGGCTTGGCAGTGTGGGTAGTGGGAGCTGATGGGAGTCCCGAGAAGCCCCATAGGTTGGAGGTGCTCCGGACCCTGCCTGGAAGGTTCATTCTCCGTCTGTTCCCAATCCCGTTCCTCCTCTTGGGTCCTTCTGCTCCATGGGGGTGAGTGTTGATCCGTGCAGGATCAGCATGATGCAGGGTACTCGCCGCCCCTGCACTCTTCTCCCCGGAGGACCAGAGGTGCGGCACTGCAAGCTGCTAGGATTAGCCAGGTGGGGATGGTCCTCGGGCTCCCGTGTGGGCCTCCTCGCCCTTGTTTCCAACCAGAAAGAAGACGCCTCGCCTGAGACAGACACACTGTGCTGCCTATAGCCACCACCTGCTCTCCGGCTCCTTGCGCCCAGAGCTGCTTCCTGACACACAGGCTTTTCAAACCCTGACCCTAGTCCACAGGTTGACAGCCGTGCCCTGCACATGGATGTGGCCGATACAGAAAAGGCTCAAAGTTGACCTGGGGGGAATCACAGCTCCTGGTTCGGGTCCCAGCACAGAGCCCTGCCGTATCCCAGAGAGGCACCAACCAGAATCAGAAAAGGAAATCTTTGTCCCTGGGAGAGATTTATGCAAATGATCTGTCTGGTTCCTGTCTTTGAAAATGCCTAGATGTTGGCTTACAAATCAGGAAGATGTTTGGTTTTTTGATGAAGGCAGTCCTCTGTAAACACCACAGGCCAGGGCTGCTGTCAGCCTGCTTCCTGGCTTGCTTGCTTAACAATGTCACTAGGGTCTGACTCCCTTTCCACCTTCTCAGGTGGCATGTGCAGTATTGCTGATCACAGCCAGGCCAGGTAATGCTTGGGACTCTCGAGAGGTCACCCACTGGGAAGGGAGCCTCGCAGCAGATCCTGTAACCCAGAAAATGCCTGCTCAGCCTGCCCTGTCGCTGTTCCCACTCCCCTGCTCTTCAAGCCTCAGGCCCTGCATGGTTCTCTCAGGGTCCACTCTCCCCTTCTCATTGTGGCTCTTGCAGTGCTCCTGGGCTCATGCTCAGAGGGCCTTGGTCTCTCTCAAGGCCACTGTCCCTGTTTGTGCAACACTAGGCACTCCCCAAGCCTGTACCCACCACTGCAGCTCCAGCTGAGCAAGATCGGGCTTGGTGTTCTCCCTTCTCCCTACTTCCAGAATGGGTATCTGGGAACACTTTTTCCCTGGGTCCTTTCAGGAGGGCTTCAGGAACCCTTTGCTCAGGAACCTGACCCTTTAGAAGAGCCCCTTTGGAGAGAGCGTCTGCTCAGCAGGTAATGGAGCATCCCCTTGCACCTCCTCCTCTCTAGCTGCATAGACTCGTGGTTTGAAGTGAACAGATCTTGTCCAGAACACCCCGCGGACTGACCCTGCCGGGCTTGCTTGCTGACTCCTCTCAAAGGTGAGCCTGTGGTTGGGGCACTCCAGGCTCAAGGCTCAGGCTCAGGCTCAGGCTCACGTCACTATCAGGGCCTGGAGGTGGGGTGCTGGGTTGCCCTTACACACCTGCCAGAAGGCAGGCTCAGAGAGGAGGACGGGAGCATCCTCTCAGCCAGTGGTTACCCAGAAACGCAGATGATTTTCCTTGGGAAGGAGGAGGTACAAACCAGCACGCGCGTGGCTATGAAGAACATGCAGAGTTAGAATTGGTCGGGGAGAGACCAGTGTGTTCCAAGGGGCCAGGACCCATCTCCCTGAAGAACGTTCAGAAGGATCCTGGGGACATGCAGGGACAGGGAAAGCTGCAGCAACTCTAGCCCTGTCTCTGCATCTGCGCCCAGCACTGCCTGGTCCTCACACCTCTCTGAGTCTCCATCTCTTTGGTAACAAGAATAACCACATGCTGGGCCCATAGCCTGATGGGTAGGGGAGCTGGATACCACATGGCCGACCACAGTTTGAACCTCAGCCACTGAAAAACATGTTGTGTGCCTGTGTGCGCCCATCCCAGATCCCAGCAGGGAGGAGAAGGCATTGCGGCTTGACCATGCCCTGTTGGGGGTGTGCTTCCTGGCCCACCACCACCCCTGCAAGCACAGGTACCTTCTGGCAATTAAAAACAAAAATGGACCAGAGCCAAGGCACTTCCTAAATAGGCAGCCATGGGAACACATTTGTCCACTGCACAGTCCTTATCATCCATAGCCTCGCAGCTGGTTCTTGCACCTGCAGGCACCTCCCTCTCCCACTTCCAGATGACTCTCGGGCCTCCATGCCAGGCTCAGCCCTTCCACCTACAGCACAGGGTCCTGACTTCACAGCAGGCTAGCGAGCAGCTCCCTCCCCCGGTGTGCACTCACATCCCCTGTAGAACCGTGGGACTGACCCCCCACCCGCCTTGCTGACCACCCTGTCCATCCCCAGTCCTGCCCGTCCCTCCTCAGTGACGGGCTGACATTGTCTCCTTTCTGGCCAAGAAATGGACAAAATCTCCAGGCAAACCAAAAGCTCTCCACCACCACCAACTCAGTCCAAAGGGTTCGGGGCCTCTCTCATGCTCCCCTCCGCCCCCTCTCCCCGCTTTCTCTCCTGTTTTTTGTTTTGTTTTGTTTTCTTTTGTTAGGTTTATTTTATTTATTCCAAGTAAACTCCCAGAACAGCCGATGATGTCAGACAAATCAGGGACATTTGCTCTTTTTTACCTTCACCTCAAAACTGATGACAAGGGGAGAAGAACAAGCGAGGGTGAGAGTGAGGCAGAGGGAGTGGCAGCTGGCCCAGAGCGCGGGTCCGAATCCTGGCGTGATGTCTGGCTCCCGGGGGGCCTGCCCAGCGGAACCACGGCCGTCCTGCCTGGCCACCCTCAGCGGACGCACGCTGCCGAGGGACTTGGCACCCGCCGGACAGAGCACGACTCACTTGTTACGATCCACACAGGGACGGACAGCCCCTGTTCCTGAAGAGGCTCACCGGACCCTGGGGCAGAGCTGAGCTTGGGACAGCAGTGGGAACAGGGCAGCCTTCGGCACTGACCTCCGGAACGTGGTTCTCCTCCCTCCCGAGGACACCAGATGGGATGAGAGCGAGTCTGAGAGAAGAATGAGTCACCGATACCCCTCACCCCTCAGCCCAGGAGGAAAAGGGCATTTTCTTTTTCACCTTTGAAAGGCGTTGTGGGTCTGTCTTTAAAGTGTTTACAAAAAAAAAAAAAATTATATAAAAAAAGTCTAGTGTCGACTGGTGTTTTCCCTCGTGATGTTTACAGATCGCTGTTTGCTGCCCAGCTGTAACCCACTCAGTGACAGAAACACAGCCACGTCCTCGCCGCCAGCGTCCTGATGGCAGGCGAGCACACAGTCCCCTCCCAGCCCCGTGCCCCATCGGCCCTCTCCCTCACCCACCTCTCCACCTGAGGGCTTTTCCATTTTCCTGGCCTGGTTTTGCACTTTTCTCCCCTGGGGAATCCTGTTTTGATTTCATTGCCAAAAAACAACCCGTGGAGGACTTCCTCCCCACCTCCACTCGTTCTTCTCCTCCCCTCCTGGTCTGGTCAGTTCAGAGGATTTCACAGTCACAAGTGTCCTGCAAAAATGCCTCAACATTTTTCTTAGGCCCTTGTGGATATCCTTTTCCCAGAAAACTCAAACCAAGACTTACTAAAGAAATCTGTACAGATCCCCGTTTTCAGGCACTGTTTGAGAACATTTTAGCCATTGATGTTCACACGTGGCATCAGCCCGTGCAAGATAGGTTTCTGTATTTATATATTAAAATTAAAAAAAAAAACTTATAAAATGTTTAAAACAATGTTCAAAGCTTGGGAGAAAAGCTTTCTTCATTAGTCAAGGTGTTTTGATATGGTATTAAAATCATGTCTAATAAAAGATGCACTGTGTGATTTTATTTTAATGAAGTATTGATATACAGGCAAGCAGCGGGGCAGAGGCCTACCCCCGCCTCTCACCTACCTCCTCAGCATTCCAGCAGGCTACTACTTGGGGCTCCCAGTGTGCAAAGTGGTTCTCAGACCATCATACTTGGGAGGAGGGATGTGGCCAATCAGGTGTGCGTCCTACAAGTTTACTAACCCTCTTAAGCACTCTGGAGTCAACCTGCCATCTTCTGTGGAGTGTTGTGACAGAACTCTTCCGGAAATACCTCCAAGGGCAAAGATCTTGCAGCTACCGGAGGAGCCACAGGGATGTGGGTTCTTCCAGGCATGGGCCCAGCCTCCTCCCTCAACCTCTGCCTGTCCCCATCCCACGCCCCATGTCCCCAGTCCCCCGCGCCAGCTCTGCCTGTTGCTCAGTTTGCATCTCGGTGCTGACTCATGGGCGTGTTTCATCAAGGCCAGGAAGAGGCCCTGGTTTGGGGCTGAGCCAGCTCAGAGCCCTTGAACCAGAAGCAGCCACTAAGGCTCACAAAGAGTTGGCAGGTTTCGGGCTGGGCAGGAAGCTTGGGCCAGGGGCAGCAGTGCACACGGCCGCCTGGCCTGTCCAGGTGCCAGCCAGGTTCCCCAGGCGGCATTCCAGAGCCTCCTGCAGAGCTGGCAGAGGCGAGCTCGGGAGGGAGACGTCTGCTCACCTTCCCGGTCCGGCACTTGTGCTGCCGTCTGGACTCCTACCCCACCAGGCCTCAGTCTGGATGCCCTGACTGCAGTCACCCACCGCCATCAGATCATCCGACTCCGTGCATGGGTGCTCGTTGCAGACCAGTGAGCACCCATGAGCCAAAGCAGACTGGCGTGCCCAGTGCGCCCGGAGACACACTGAAGGAGTTCCGTGGTTCTGAACCTGGGCTTCTGCACCGGACCTGCCTGGAGTGGAGAGCGGACACGGGGTCTCAACCGCATTTGGGGTCCTCTGCTTGGCAGAATGATCTTGGGAAAACCACTTCATTCATCATAACTTCAGGTTCCTGGCATGTGAAGTGAAGATAGGATCACCCGCTCAGAGGTCACCGTGAGGGTCAGGGCCTCGTCCCTGAAGGCCCTGGCACAGACCCAGCAGGCTCCCTGTGACTGTCACTGCAGAGGGCACAGCTCTGTTCACAGCACCTCCTGCTTCTGCCTGGCAACTGTGTCTCCCTGTTCTATATTTAATTTCTCCAGCAGAGCTGGTGGGGCAGAGCCCAGCCCCGCAGGAGATCTCCTCGCCTGACCCCTGGACCTGCAGACGGAGGCTTTGCGTGTTCACCTGGTTGCTTCGCAGGGCCGACCAAGCCCCGCTGGGTGCTGTGCCAGGCCCCTGGGGCTGGTGCATCCCACCCGTGACTTCTACTCCCTCGCGGTGCACCCAGTCCTCTGCTGGCTGCTGTGACCTCTGAGTTCAGACCCAGGTTGTCAGCTCCTGGTGTGGGGGTGGGTACAGGCTTGCCTGGACTTCCCAGGTCTGCATGTCGAGTGCATGCTCAGCTCCCCAGAACCCTGTGTGTCCTGCTCTGCCCGTCTGGGAGTGGAGAGAACTGGGCAGAGCTAGGAGTTGGGTTCTACCCGTCTCTACTAAAGGCCAGCGTGCTTTCGTGGGGTTCCTGGACAGGAGCCCCTCACTAAGACCATCTGTTAGCCATGTGGTGGAGGTTTGCAGGAGGGAGTCATTCTTAGGAATAAATGCTGAATTACAGAGGTGAATGATTTCAAGAACTGTGTAATACAATTCCAAATGAGTCCCCTCCAAATACACCAAATAAGGCAAAATGTTCATTGACTCCAGTGGCTGGTATTTCAGTGAATGGTGTGCTTGTACTTCAGCTTTTCTGTATGTTTGGCATTTTTCTTAATAAAAAAATTGTGGGCAAATGGCCATTGCTGAGCACCTACTAGTTGCCAGGCACTGGAGGGCACATCACAGAAGAGCCCTGCCCCGGGGGAGAGACCAGCTGCTGTAGATGCCCTCGGGGTGCCAGCAGGCCAGGAAGGGAGGAGCCTGGGACCCGGGCCCGGCCGCGGTTGAGAGGACTCAGGAGACTTGCCATCCAACCACCCTTGGCATTGCCTCCGCTCCCAGCCAGGGCAGCTGTGGGACAAATGTCACAGGGAAGTGTGCCCTGGATTTAGGGTCCCTGCTGTCTGCTAGAGCCTTCGGTTAGGCTGGACTAAGGAGGCGCCGCGTGGCTGCCTCTACCCAGGGCCAGGGGCCAAGGTCGCAGAGGCAGGATAGACCCACAGGCCCGGCCTGGCTCCCTGAATCCTTTGCCTGGGCCCTGTATTAAGGGGGGCAAAGCTCCAGGGAGATTAGGGGAAAGGGGAGTAGGACAGCACCATGGGCTCCTAGGACCTACAGGGGATGAAGAACTTAAGGGTGGCAGCCAGGCCTCTCTTACCCTGGTGGCTGGTGGCAGGACTGAGAGCTACAGGCCCTGGACAGAGGTGAGTCTGGGGACAGCTGCCTGGAGCAGAGGCTGTGGTTTTGAGCTTTATGGTGTCAAGTGCCCTCTTGCGGACTTAGCGGGAATAACTGGCAAGTGTCCCAGACAGTGGCTCTGGCCAGGGATCCCAGGACAAAGGCGGGCCCCAGAGTGACAGACCTTGGCTTTGAGAGCTGGTGGCACAAAATGGCACTCTATGGATAGGTGTGACAAAGGAGGTTAATTTCACATCCCACGATGGGTGGCAGCCACTTGAAGGACGCATTCAGCTTGTTCTAAGGCCCAGTTCAGGCCCTGTGGGGTGGAGGGCGTCAGTCACAAGGGCATCTACCGTGGGCTGGCCCTGGGGCCTGAGTTCTCCTAGGCAGAGTGGCTGGGACAGGGACCTGGACCTAAAGCCCGAGCACCACCCCCTTCCCAGGCCGCCACAAGTCCACAGTGCCACTGGCCAAAAGTCAGCCGGAGTGGGTGGGGAAGGCCAACCGGAGCAATGCTACCTGCTCATCTCCAGAGAGCTGCTAATGGAGTCAGGTTCTCCAACTAATGATGGAGAAAAGCCTGTTCCTGTTTCTAGGTACAGGGCGAGGGGTGCTGGGCCCCAGCATGGGGAGGCCTCAATCTGGGATGGGCCTGCACGCCCACCTAGCACAGAGTGTAAGACGGCAAGGAGTGAGCAGCTTCGCCAGGAACCACCTGGTCATTTACTGGACCAAAGTCCCTGAGGACAGCAAGAGGGCTGCGGGGAGCCCCACGCCCAGGTTTCTCTCCCACGCTCCGGCCTGAGGCCCGAGATACAGACAGCACCAGCCATTGTCCATCCCTCGCCTTGCAGGGTTGGTGACACAAAGGAAGGTTCCAGCACAGGGACTCCGAATCTGAGGGCTTCCGGGCAGAGTGCTTGGGGCCCTCACAGCACCTTGCCTGGGTTCATGAGGCCGCGGGGGTCCAGGCCAGCCTTGAGCTGCCGCATGATCTCCATGGCCACGGCGCCCACCTCCTCCTGCAGCAGCTGCCGCTTGCCCAGTCCGATGCCGTGTTCCCCAGTGCACGTCCCGTGGAGTGCCAGCGCCCGCCTGGGAGGCAGTGAGAACCTCAGCAGGCTCCCCTCCCACATCCCTCAGCTCGCCCGCCCAACCCTGCCCCTACCTGCCCAGCTGCTCCGCAAAGGCCTCCAGCCTGCCGACCTCCTCGGCATCCTCCGGGTCCACCAGCAGGATGCAGTGAAAGTTGCCGTCACCCACGTGCCCCAGAATGGCCCCTGGGAACCAGAGGACAGAGCCGAGCGGTGGCCTCCAGCCCAGCCCTCCCCATCCCTCCCCCAGGTCCAGGCACTGTCAGAACCTGTGAGTCCTGAGGCCTGCAGGTCCTCCTTGGTCTGCACCAGGATCTCCGGCAGCCGGGAGATGGGCACACACACATCGGTGGAATAGCCCTGGACAGAGGGCAGGCCAGTGAGGAGCTCCGCTCACCCCTGCCTGCCTGGAGGTGAGGGGCCACTGCAGTCCCGGCTAAGAACAGGCCTGGAGGACTTGGCTCCAGCCCTTGGCCCATGCAAGGAAACACCTCTGCTCTTCGGCAGGCTCACCCCCAACTCACCTGTTCCCCAGCTCTGCTATATGCAGGTCCCCCATGCCCCACCCACTGAGGCTTTGTGCAAGCTGCACTTGCCCCTCCATCACTTTCTCCAGGAAGCCTTCCCTGTTTACAACCCCTCTGATCTGATCTCTGCACTGTTCCCAGGACTTGGCTCACAGGAAGGGCTCCTGTACTCCCCTTTGAGACAGTGTCAGTTACTGCCAGATGGGGCAGTCAGCACCCCAGGTGCTAGCCCCCACATGGGCCTCAGCCGGCCTCTCTGTACAGTGCAGTAGAGGTTGAGGACAGGGTATGCGTTGGACTGCGCCCCCACTCCACCCCAGCTCACCTTGCAGCCTGGCCGCAGGGCCATGATGGCATACCAGGCGTTGTGCCGTGCTGCCCAGAGCCGGCTACGCTCTTCAGCCTCCTTGGCCCAGGAGAAGTGGGAGGCTCCGTGGTACTGGGCGATCTCCTCTGCAGGGAGAAGAGGGTTGACCCTGGGCCCTTTCACGGGCAGCCCAGCCTGCTGGCCCTCCGCCCCTCCACACTTCTCAAGCCCCTCCGCGCCCCTCGCGCTCCTCTGCGCCCCTCCAAGCCCTTCCACACCCCTCCGCGCCCCACACACCTGCCCTCTGCAGCTGCTCTGCGAGTGCCTGCGCCGAGCCATGGAACTCCAGGAACAGCGAGGGCGCCACGGGGCAGTCCATCTTGCTGTGTCTATTGCAGGCATCCATCACGACGTCATCCAGGAATTCTGGGGCCAGGAGAAGGCGGCAGGTGAGGGCTGGCCTTACCGGGGAGCCCCGGCTAGGGAGCCCACCCTCACTGCCCCAGTCCCCGGCTCACCGATGCGGGCCACGGGCACTGCAGCCTGGAGGATGTGGACGGTGCTGTCCACGGCAGCCTGGATGGTGGGGAACGCGCAGGTGGCGGCCACCGTGGCCTCAGGGGCAGGGTGCAGGCGCAGGGTGGCGGATGTGATGAGGCCCAGCGTCCCCTCAGAGCCCACAAAGAGCCCCGTGAGGTTGTAGCCAGCTGCACTCTTCCTGGGCCCCGGGTACACACGGGGAGGTGAGTACCAGGCTTTATAGGAGGGGTTTCTGGCCAGGGCACCACCCCCAGACCCCAAGGACATAGACTGCCATTCATCCCCCAGCACAATGCTCCCTGCTCCACACCAAGTCGGTGTCGCGCAGGAAGGGCAAACCCCAGATCCATCAGCTTTGGGCCACATGGCAGTTTCAGAGCCCTCAGAAGTTTAGCCCCCCTACCCAGGAGGCCAGCCAGAGGAGGCGCCTCATCCCTGTTAGGGCCACCGCGGGAGGCCAATCCTGAGTGCAGGTGCTCACCGGAAGTGCCGGCCGCAGCCCGCGGTGTGCAGCAGCCGCCCGTCGGGCAGCACCACCTCCAGGTTGAGGACGTTATCCCGCATGGTGCCATAGCGCACGGCATTGGTGCCCGAGGCCCCTGTAGCTGCCATGCCACACAGAGAGGCGTCTGCACCCGGATCTGGAAGGCAAAGGTAGGAGAGGGCAGCCCGGAGCCGTGAGAGGAAGGAGTCCCCTGAGGACCCAGAAACAGCCCTGCCCATGAAAGGTCCAGGGCCCAGGCCTACCCACAGGAAACCAGAGGCCACTGTCCCGGAGATGGCGGTTGAGGGCTTTGCGGGTGACCCCAGGCTCCACCACCACAGAGAAGTCTTCTGGATTCAGCTCCAGGATTCGATCCATGTGGGTCAGGTTAATGCAGACACCGCCCTGGCAAGAAGGGTGCCAAGACCATGCCACAGCCTCCAGGATCCACCCCACCCCCTGGGGCCAGAGCAGAGCCCATAGGGACAGTGGCTTGAGAAAGGGACCTGGTGCTGTGCATAGCAGAGGGCCACAACTGTGCCACCGCGATGAGGCCAGCCCTTGGGACACCCTCCATACCTGCACAGCACAGACTCCACCCTCCAGCCCCGTGCCAGTGCCGAACGGGATGATGGGCACTCCTTGGCCATAGCACAGGGCCGCCAGCCGGCTGACCTGCTCCACATTCTGGGGCCACACCACAGCGTCTGGAGGTCGGCACCTAGAACCAGGCCCTTGCTGATTTAGGGGTGTGGCACCACGGGCCTCACTCTCATTTCAAGAGGCCTGGAGGTGCTGCGCCCAGGGTCTGAGGTGACACAGCAGGGGAGGGGGGGCAGAGGACCCCCCTCTGGGGCAGAGAATGCCAGAGCACCCCAAAACAGGAGGGTGGAGAAGACAACCGCAGCGCCTCACTCCCAGCTGAGTGCTTGGGTGGGGGTGGGGCCCACAAACCCCCCACACCTGTGCATCGACTCATCATGGCCATGCTGTTCCCGGACCGCGGCTGCAGTGGACACATGGGGGCTCCCCACTATCACCTTCAGGGCCTCCACAAACCCCACGCTAAGTTTGTCCTATGGGGAAGAAACGCATTGCCAGGTCACTCAGGAGGTCCCGGGAGTCCCGCCCGGTCCCTTGGCAGGTGGAGGGAGTAGGGGCTGGAGGGGTCCGTCCACTGCACACACACACCGTGTAGAGCGGTCAGCCCGGGGTCGGCCCAGGTCAGCCCGGTGGCCTTGCTAGGTGGGCCACTCCCCAGGGATGCCCTTCCCCCAGAACCACGGGGTCAGCGTTCCCTTTGGAAAACCAGGGGGAAAAAATCAAGGTAGGCCCACTCTACAGAAGGGGTCAGTGGGTTCCCACAACTTCCGGCCCTGCCTAGTGAGTGCAGAGGCTTCTCCCCCGTCCCCTCTCTTAGGCCAGCCATGGGGACCCAAGCACCAGGGATTCATCTTGGGAAGGGATGACAGGAAGAAAAATGTTCCCTTGCCCCCTCCCCAGAGCTAATGCACCCCCTCCCCACCTCCTACCTTGGTTGGGGGCTTGGAGGGCCCTGAGCCCTTCTGGGGACTTTTCCCATTTTACAGATGGGAAATGGAGGCTGACAAGTAGAGAGCCTGGCCTAGGACCTGACGCCCCTTCCCATTCTCTCAACATGCATGCGTGTGCACGTGTACACGCTTGTGTGTATGGTCCAGAGCCCCACGGGGGCCCTGGAGTGTGTGCATGCCTGTGCGTGTGCGTGTGCATGCCCTCGAGCCCCACGGGGGCCCTGGAGTGTGTGCATGCCTGTGCGTGTGCATGTGCGTGTCCTAGAGCCCCACGGGGGCCCTGGAGTGTGTGCATGCCTGTGCGTGTGCGTGTGCGTGCCCTCAAGCCCCACGGGGGCCCTGGAGTGTGTGCATGCCTGTGCGTGTGCATGTGCGTGTCCTAGAGCCCCACGGGGGGCCCTGGAGCCCACGAGCCCATGCACCTTTCATCTCCCACAGACCCACTCAGGGCAGCTGTGGGGCCTTGGCCCATCTCACTTGATACCCACATAGACACAGGGTGAGCCCAGTGATCCTGTGCCCACGGTCAGCTCCAACGGGGCTGGGACAGCCCAGAGTCAGGGCAGCTTGGTTTGTGGGGACCCTTCAGGGAGCTTCTCCCCACCTACCTGTGTTCCCCTGGAACAGTAGCCCCTCCAGGGGAACAACCCCCAGGTTGCAGCCAGGAGCCTACGGGCCATTGCAGGGCTGTGCCAGAGGGGTGTGGGACAGCGGCCTCAACCCATTGGCTGCCGGGGGGTGGGGTGGGGCCTGCTTAAGGTGGCACTAGCTTAAGGTGGTCCCTGCAGACCTTGCAAACCAGGGACAGTCTGTGAAAGCTAGGGTCAGAGGTGAGAGTCACAGACACACCCAGGCATGAAACCTGTGCTGGGGTCCCAGGGCTCTTTTCTTTTTTAAAGAGGTTTTTGCTTTAGAGCACGTGCGCTAGCTGGAGACAGAGACAGCCAGAGGGAAAGTGAGAAAGGCCACGCAGCAGTCCCTTCTCCAGGGATCTTAGGCAGCATGATTTTCAAGCCCCCAGGTCCAGGACTTGAACTGTAGTTGGCCGTGTGGGAATCAAGTAACATAACCATTACACCATCTGCTTCCCCCGCCCCCATCTTGTAACAAACTAACGAACTCCTTGCAGGGAGCCTCCACCTACTCCACTTCCTTCCAACCTGCTCTTTGACACCCCCCCACCCCCCCACCCCCGGTTTCTTCCGTTCCAGTCTGGAGCTCTTTCCAGACTCTTCAACTGACTTGTTCTTCCCCATCCTGCAAGTCTCAGCCCTGCTCACATGGTCACTGTGAGCTGCCATCCAGGCCCAGGAGGACGCTTGCTCAGGGCAGCCTTTCCTGAATGGAATGCAGCAAGCCAGGGAGCCTTCCTGGAAGAGGAAATCTGAGGGTGAGCAGCAATTCACCAGGTAGATGAAGGAAAAGACTTCACATCCCTTTCTTCCCGACCCTGCCCCTGGGCAGAGTCCAGGACTGTCCAGGAGTGATATGGCTAATGTTCTGGAAGCTATTCCTACTTCCATACTCCTTTCTGCAGTGACTCTGGAAAGGCCAACATCGCTGAGATCAAACTGCACTTGGCTTTTCCTTCCCAATCACGTCAGGAGTCAACTCCTACCTCATCCAATCGAATGCTTCACCCAACCACAGTTCCATGAGTTCATCCAAAGACAAAAGGCCAACGAATTTAGTTATTCTATCTAATTGGCTTTTCTCCACAATTCAGGAATTGAGCCAGACTCCTTTCTACAAAACAGAATGAGGGCTCCCTCCTACTGGGCAGGGACAGAACCGTGCCTCTGGTAAGGTGGGGACAGGGAAACAGCAATAGAAAACGCTGATCAGCTGGTCCTCACCATCTGGTTACTTCAGGTTACTGTGCTTTTCAGTAAGGATTAAGGCAAATGGGACTTCCTTATTACACTGACTAAGATAGACTGGAATGTCCTGTTTTCAGGAGAAAAATGGTCTGTTTTGGGATCTGTCTGCTTCCATCAAATTTCAGTTTGATTATTGTGGCATTTAGCCTGAGTGAATCATTTTTGGTTTGGTCTATTCTGTTGGGGCCTAGTGCAAAGGTTCTTTTGTTTTTATTTTAGTGTGAGAGTTCTATCCAAAACAATGGCCTCCCAGAATGTTTATAAGTTCATCCTTCTACCCTCCATGTGTTGTTTAACTGGCTTGTCTCAAAAAAAATGTCTGTTTTACAGTTGGTTAGCTCAAACGAGAGCCGCTGTAAGTCCACATGATACGTTTAATAATGTGTCTCATAAACCGTTTTTTCTTTTTTTTTGGAGAGGTTTTTGCTATAGGGCGCGTGCGCTCGCTAGACAGACAGAGAGACAGAAAGCGAGAAATCACCCCCCAGGGAGGATGGCCACGCTGCAATCCCTTCTCCTCCATTCTCCTCTCGGGATTTTGGGCACGCTTTTGTTTTTATTTTAGTGTGAGAGTTCTATCCAAAACAATGGCCTCCCAGAATGTTTATAAGTTCATCCTTCTACCCTCCATGTGTTGTTTAACTGGCTTGTCTCAAAAAAAATGTCTGTTTTACAGTTGGTTAGCTCAAACGAGAGCCGCTGTAAGTCCACATGATACGTTTAATAATGTGTCTCATAAACCGTTTTTTCTTTTTTTTTGGAGAGGTTTTTGCTATAGGGCGCGTGCGCTCGCTAGACAGACAGAGAGACAGAAAGCGAGAAATCACCCCCCAGGGAGGATGGCCACGCTGCAATCCCTTCTCCTCCATTCTCCTCTCGGGATTTTGGGCACGCATGTACCCTCGCCCGATGTGAGTTTTAAGCCACCGGGTCCGGGACACGAACCGCGGTTGACCACATGGGAGTCCAGCGACATAGCCATTACGCTAACTGCTGGTTCCCAAAATAAACAATTTTTAAAAAGTGTTCTTTAATATATTTGTCTAATCTTTCTCTTTATGTATATGTGCATGTATGTTTACATTTTTTTTAAGAATTGTTTGTTTTATTTATTATCACTATTTAACTTGCTGTAGCCATTAGAGAGAGATAGAGGGAGGGGGAGAGAGGGAAAGTGAGAAAGCAAGCTACCAGGTTCAGGACTGGAAGCATGGTCAGCCGTGTGGGAGTCCAGTGCCCCAACCACCACGCCACCTGCTGGCCCCCAATATGTGTATTTTTGCCAGAGGGTGCATGGGCTTGTCAGAGAGAGGAGAAAGCACTCCCCCAATGGGGTGTGATTATGCTGCAATCCCTTCTCTTCTGTTTCTCCATCCTGATGGGATTTTGAGCACACATGCCCACACACCCAGCATGTTTTTCAAACTACTGAGGCCAGGATTCAAACCATAGTAGGCCATGTGGGATCTGGCTCCCTTAACCACTAGGCCACAGGGCCAGTCCTGTGTATTCTTTGTGAAGTGCTGGCTCTAGGTGTGACCCTGTCTAATGAACCTACTTGCTCCGGTGAGATGTTCTGTTTCTGCATTTCCCACAGGGTGGCCACGTGGACTATTGAGCACTTGAAATGAGGTTAAAGGAACTGAATTTTCACTTTCTCTTCATTTTAATTTTGAATGACTACTATATTGAACAAAGCTAGGGACTCCATTAGATTCAAATTTCACTGTCTGTGGCAAGAATAGTACCTAGATTAGTGCTGTATATTCATGTACATTTTTTTCTTTTCTTTTTGTTTTTCTTTCTTTTTTTTCTTTTTTCTTTTTTTTCTCTCTCTCTTTTTTTTTTATTCTTTTTTTTTTTTTTTAGAGGTTTTCACTATAGGGCACGTGCGCTCGCCAGACAGAGAGAGACATAGAGACAGAAAGCGAGAAATCATCCCCCAGGGGGGATGGTCACGCCGCAATCCCTTCTCCTCCATTCTCCTCTGGGGATCTTGGGCACACACGCACACGTGCCCGGGGTGAGTTCTAAGCCACCAGGTCCGGGACGCGAACCGCAGTCGACTACGTGGGAGTCCAGCAACATAGCCATTATGCTAACTGCTGGTTCCCTCTTTTCTTTTCTTTTTCTTTTTTTTCATGTACATTTTAAACCAAGTTTAAGATTTAAAAAATCCCAACTTGGCCAGCCAGTGGCATGGTGGTTGTGCTGAGCCTCACATGGCCAACTGCATGGTTTAAGTCCTGAATCCACAGCTTCAAAAACACTCCTGGTGGGACCAGCAGATGGCATAATGGTTATGCTGCTAAACTCCCCCGTAGTTGACTGTGGTTTAAGTTCGGGACTCGGCAGTTTAAAACTCACGTCTGCGCTTGTGTGTGCATGCCTGAGATCCTGAGAGGAGAATGAAGGGATTGTGGCGTGGCCATCCCCCCCAAGCAGTGATTTCTCTCTAAAGAGCGTATATGCCCTATAGCAAAAATATCTTTAAAAAAAAAGAAAAAAAGAAAGAGAGAGAGAGAAAGAAAGAGAAAGAAAGAAAAGAGAGAAAGAAAAGAGAGAAAGAAAGAGAAACAAAGAAAAGAAAAATACTCTTGGCACAAGTGCTTGTGTACCCAAAATCCCATAAAGAGAAATGGAAGAGAAGGGATTGCAGTGTGATCATCCCTCATTCTAATTGGACCTGGGGATGTGAGAACTGGCTCACGAGGCCAAGGCACTGGTCTGTCAAAATTGTTTTTTAGGGACCAGCAGTTGGCATAACGGCTATGTCGCTAGAATCCCATGTAGTCCACCGCGGTTCAAGTCCCGGACTCAGTGGCTTAAACTCATGCCAGCACGTGTGCGTGTGTGCCCAAGATCCCGAGAGGAGAATGGAGGAGAAGAGATTGCAGCATGGCCATCCCCCTGGGGGGTGATTTCTGGCTTTCTCTCTGTCTCTCTCTGTCTTTCTGATGAGCACATGTGCCCTATAGCAAAAACTTCCAAAAAAAAAAGGTTTTTAATTCCAACTGGAATTTTTACTGAGATTACATTCTCATAAGTTATTAACTTATTCTCATAAGTTTATTAATTTATGAGATTTGGTGTATTTATATTAAGTTGACCCATTTGAGACAATAGAAGCTCTCCACGTATGAGATCATCTTTGACATGTTATTAAATTTAAGCTTTTCTCCTTAAAGATCAGACTGTGGGCTCCTGACTGTTTTCTCTGTTTCCATCCTATGTAGCTATAGTACAGTTATCAAAACTAAGAGATTCACAGTGGCACGGCACTAATTACAAGTTCCATATCACCAGTTTCTCCACTATTTTTTTTCCCTGTTGCAGGATCTAGCCCATCATTTGACATGGCATTTTGTTGTCCTACAGTCTGTGACAGTTCATTAGTCTTTCCTTGTCTTTCACAACTTTGATATTTTAAGGAGTGCTGGTCAGCAATTTTATATGTTCATCAATTGGATCTTTTCAATTTTTCTATTAAGAGTTGAGATTGTGGGGGCCAGGAGGTGGCATGGTGGTTCAGGTGTTGGACTCCCACATGGCTGACCACAGTTCAAGTCCCAGACCTGCAGCTTGTCTCACTTTCCCCCTCTCTCTCTGGTGAGTACACATGTCCTAGAGCAAATTTTAAAATAATAGTAAATAATTTTAAAAATAATTCTTTTTTAAATTATTTTTTATTTAATTGTATTCATTGTTATTATTTTATTTTATTTTACTTTATTTTGAAGTTAACTAGAGGGAGACAGAAAGAGAGAAGGAAAGTGAGGAAGCAAGCTGCCAGGTCCAGGACTTGAACTGTG